ATCCTGTACTTTGGCGAATGCTCTAGTATTTACTAGATATAGGGTAGTCGGGTATATAAAAGAGGGGGACAACGTGACGCGGTAATGTGTGTTTCGACAGTGAGTAATTGAACTGCAGTCAGAGAGCACGAGAGACGTTACAGCGTTTGTTTAGCGCGATTGTTGAAGTTGAGTGTATCGTAAAGTTGTATTCGGAAAGAATAAACCAGTTTTATTAAGTAAAGAACTTGTGTCGCTAAAGTTTCGTCGGAACAAAGTTACGGAAAGTTAATTAACAAACGGAGACGTAACAATATAATACATAAGATTGATAATGTTGTTTACAGTCAATAAAACATGCAAGGTAAATATAGGCTGTGAATAAACATAGATTATATAAATCTTCTGATCAAAAAGCATTTTAACTTATTTCAAATGAAGAATTAAATTACCTGTTGATGATTAACAAAGTTTGACTGTTTTTGTAAAACAATAACATCACTGTCTTCTACATAAGGTAGTTGTCTTGGACTGAAAGGACAAAGTTTTACAATCACTAACTATACATAAAACAGAAAGATACACAATAGTCTTCTTCATTTTTCTATAAAATACTTTAATAATATAAATTAAAATACAGCAAACCATTTAACACTAAGCACCAGAATATAGCTTAATAGCAGACATTAGGTGACAAAGTTTAAATTAAACGTTAAAATCCTTTTCTCCTTTCACATGCACTGACATTCTAACATAGACAGAAACTTGCAATAAAATTTTACACTTCTCAGTTCTATGACACATGCAGATATGACTGATAAATATTTCTTTGTTCCTCTACACTCAAAATTCAGAAACATGATTATAGATTGTACTTTTATTTTGTCTCTCAGTAAACTTTGAAATCACTAAGAATGTTATGTTCTTTTGTTCTGTAGCATATATTTTGTATTGAATTATATAAAACAAATACTACAAAAGTTGAAGTTGTGTGGTTCTGCTTCATGTGATTATATTGTCAAGATCAAAGTTTTCACTAATAATTAACATGTTTCTGCATTACACTAAGTGTGCACAATATATTATAAACAAGTTTTGTGTGAAAAAAAGAAATGCAATACTGCCTAATTTTTGGATCAGTCTGGTGTATTAAATATGTTCTAAAATCTTGTCTGTTTTATTCCACTTAATATCAAGGTCATATTCCTCTAAAATTCCTTATCTCGTGCTTTCTTTGGCAAGATTTTTTTTAATGTATACTACAAATAAAACCAGTAGAATTCAATTTTGCACAATGAAATCAGTTTAATATTTTATTATTTCTTACAGATACTGAAAAAGTATACATTAATATTATAAACTGTTTTTAGCTTTTTATGTTTGCCATACAATTATACTGAAATGCACAAACAAGTGAGACAACACCCATTTGCCATAAGATTCACGCTTTCTTTACATAGCAATTTTGAATGCAACATTAAACATGGTAAATACACTTATACACTTACTGTCATATACATTATCTATAAATTTATTTTTTTGTGGCAGATTGAAAAAAAAATATATAATTGCCAAATACACATACACAATACATTTTAGATACTGATATTTATGACCAGTGCTTCACATTTATCTTTTTATTTAAATAAACAAAATGTTGCAAGTCATAACAGTACTAAGTCTAACCTCTGTGAGTTGTTTGGTATGGAACTCATCATCTGATCTTGCAGGAAGTGAATTCGTTCTGTCAAATGTGAATTTACTGGGCCTAGAAAAGAAGAAAGCCAATATATTCATTTAGATCTTTATTTGCTTCAAAACTACCATTCTAGTGCCAACCATTTTATTCGTACTGAAACATTGCTATAGATATTGCCTAAGCAATCCAAACAACTACCAAAGCACAAAGTCAGCAGATTCTTACAAAACTAATATTATGCATTAGCCAAAGAAATAAAACACCAATTAAACAAAATAAAAAACCATGAGTTTGCTGGCTAACAGGTTCTTAAAAGAAATTGATAACCTGTCAGTTCAGCATATGCTGAAATAATGAGTTCATAATACATAACGTTTTGGGACTTATTGGTCCGTCTCAGCTGTTCCATCCTCTAAACTAAACCAAAACTATTAATAAATAAATTTAAAAAAAGATCTGTTAAGTATGAAAAAAAGATGATGCATCAACACTATCAATTCCTTTTACAATCTTAAACACCTCAATCAGATCCCCCTAACTCTTTATTTTTTTAAGAGAAATCAATTTGAGAAATTTCAACCTCTTCTGGTATGACAACCCCTCCCTCCCAGGCATCATTCTAGTAACCCTTCTCTGAACCCTTTCTAACAATTCAATGTCTTTCCTAATACAAACAGCCCAAGACTGAACACAATATTGCAAGTGTTTTTTTTCATCAGTGACCTATACAATGAAATTATACCCTCATACACAGTTTAACAAATTACTTTTATTTCTATAAAATGCTTCTAAGAAAATCAGCTTTTGATTAAACACAGTTGCTCCTTGCTTTTTTTAAAAGGTTGTTGTCTGAATAAATGTGCAAGTTCATGGAACAACCTACTTCCCTTATTAATGATAAAACAAAAATTAAATACAGAAAATGTGTATTTCAATGGTAAACCATCCCATGAATTTTTTCTTAAAAACTATGGTACATAAAATGTGCACAGCTGAACAACGATACATTAATTCACCTGTTATAACCACAAATTTCAACCATTTCTTATTGTCATGTTATTAAACCTCTAGTTATGAGGTAAAAGTGAATTTCATGCAATATGCATATCTTTTGCAACTTTAAACATGCATGCTCTTTATGTCATAAAAAACACAATATAAAGAAAGAAAAAGGAATTTTGGTTTGTAATTTGAACTCAGGTTCTGTTTGTTAACCAGATATTCAATGTCTTATAAGGTATTCTCCATTTTAAAATGTTGGTATCTGATCATTTATATTATAACCTCCAGAAGTATAACATAAACATCAGTTGAGCCCATTGTTTAATGTTGAGTATTCTGGCAACATTATTCCACTGTACTGATGTGTTTCACTTCAGCATTCTATCCATGCCTCCACACATCACAAGCTAGATTACAGTCAATGAGAAATGAAAAGCAACAAGATTATGATTTAAATCCAACATCACAGAATTAATGTTCTATGAAGTAAATTAACTACCTGAAAGTTGAAATAAGACTCACTGACTTTCTATATTAAGCTTAAAATACTATTTTGTCATCAATAACTCCATTTAACCTTAAGTGTATAGACAACGAAAATAATTTATTCCAGTCTAATTTTGCAGCATATTTTGAACAAGTAAATATCTGATTTAATGTGCAACTTCTACAGCCAAAATATTGGAAAAATATTTAAAACCATGTGAATGGACGGCGGCAGTCTTGCAAGTCAAAATCAGAGTCAGTCCAAAGTTCACCAAAATAATACATCAACATAAGCATGATTAAATCAGTATCCAACTTTTACTTAATACATCTGACCTGGCATGATATTCTCACCAGATAAAAGTCCCCTACAATTTAATCTTGTAAAAAATCTATTTATTCTGATAACTTCATTTTTTTTCATTTACAGTTGTACAACAAGAAACAGACAATCAAACAATAGGGAACACATTTCATATCATTCATCTCTGCAAAACAGATAGCCTTGAACAGCAGCATTACAAATTTACTGGTATTCTATGCTCTACAAGCTTTAACTTAGTAAGCTTACACAGTAATGTACTGACCTTTGCCTCTTCTAGCTTTTAGATAGCACTTCACTGCATCATGAGACTGATTACAATTTTCATACAGAATACCAAGATTATTCCAAGCAGGAGAATGGCCACTGTCTATCCGGACTGCATGTCTGTAGGCTCTCAGTGCATCCATGGTCAGGTTTTGTTCCTGGAATAAGACCCTAAAAAAAATACAATTATATATTAATTATTATAAGCATTAAATGTAGTGAAACATAACATAATAAGTTCAAAAACACTGGATGATATTTAATAATGGTGTAAAATTATGAAACAGGTATATCAAAATCAGTGAGAAATGACTGGTTTTTATTACATTCTTGATAGACTATTAATCAATAGCCTTTTTAGGCATTCATTGCTATAGCATTTCTTGGATACTGGTGTCTACCATAGGTCCCATTCAAACATTTTCAGGCATTAACTCTTATAGCATTTTTTTGGTTACTGGTCTCTGTAGTAGGCCCTAATCAACACTTTCAGGCATTCGGTGCTATAGTATTTCTTGGTTGCTGGTGTTTACAGTAGCTCCTTATCAAACAAAAACTTAATGAATGACTGAAAGTATTGATTCATATCTACCACCAACACCAGTAACCAAAAAATGCTATAGCACTGAAGAAAGTGTTGATTAGGAACTACTTTCAATTCCCACTTCCCAACTTTCCTCATCCACCTGACATCAGACTCATTGAACTCAATGGTGATGATTAAGTCGAGTTGGGTCCTGTGGGTACCTGTCTGTCATGATTTGAGCACCTGTGCCCACAGACTTTCTCTACAGTTCTCTTCTCCTCCCCTCAGCTCTCATCCTGTTTCCTTTCCTCCTTCATTTGATCCCATCTATCTACAATGTCTAAGGAGGTGGTTTTTGTCAACACTTCCAAATTTTTTTCCTCACTCCCAATTCAATATCTTATTCACCTAGGATTGTTTTTCAACTCATTTCTCAGCTGTGCACAGCTTTCTTTCCTATAGCATTCCTTGGTATCTACCATAGGTCCTAAACATTTTCAGACATTGAATGCTATAAGTTTTTTTGGTTACTGATGTCTATAGTAGGTCCTAATCAACACTTTTAGGCATTCATTGTTATACTATTTCTTGGTTATTGGTGTTTATAGTAGGCCCTAATTAAACATCTTCAAAAATTCATTGCAATGGCATTCCTTGGTTACTGGTGTCTACAGTAGGTTCTAATCAACACTTTCAGGCATTCAATGCTATAGTATTTCTTGGCTTCTGGTGTTTATAGTAGGTCCTAACCATACACTTTCATGCATTCATTGTTATACTATTTCTTGGTTATTGGTGTTTATAGTAGGCCCTAATTAAACGTTTTTCAAAAATTCATTGCAATGGCATCACTTGGTTACTGGTGTCTACAGTAGGTACTAATCAACACTTTCAGGCATTCAATGCTATAGTATTTCTTGGCTACTGGTGTTTATAGTAGGTCCTAGTCATACACTTTCATGCATTCATTGGTTACTGGTGTCTACAGTAGGTCCTAATCAACACTTTCAGGAATTCATCAGTATAGCATTTCTTGTTTACTGGTGTTCACAGTAGGTCCTAATCAAACATTTTTAGGCATTCATTGCTATAGCATCCTTTAATTACTGGTGTCTACAGTAGGTCGTAATCAACACTTTCAGGCAATCGTTGCTATAGTATTTCTTGACTACTGGTGTCCACAGTAAGTCCTAATTAAAAATTTTTAGGCATTCATTGCTATAGCATCCCTTGGTTACTGGTGTCTACAGTAGGTCCTAATCAACACTTTCAGGTGTTTGTTGCTATAGTTTTTCTTGGTTTCTGGTGTCCACAGTAGGTATTAATCAACATTTTCAGGCATTTATTGCTTCAACTATAGGAGAAAAGTAAAATTAATCCTAAAAGAATATGTAAATTCAGAAACTTCATTAAAAGTGAAATAAAGACTTCACAATTTTATCCAATAAGGAATAAAACTGAAGGCATGATCATAAAAAAAATAACAGTACAGTTGTTAAAAAAATTAAGATATGACAAACATTTGAAGCAAACAGTTGCTTTTCTAGGCCATCTTAATTTTATACAATTTTTGTTATTGTGAAATTAAGAAAGCTGTAAAACAGGCCTTTTACTACTTAAGATTTCTACCGATTTCCCATTAAAAGAAGTTTAACAGTGACAAAGGTTTTGTAAAACTTAAGGTACAATCTTAAAATAAGCATATATACATGTTTCCTTCCTCATGGTGAAAAGACTGCAGAAGATTACGAAACCACAAATAGATCAAATTCAAAACATTCATTCGTTGACAGGTATTTGTATTCCGATGGATAAAATCGACGCCAAAACAAACATTAAAAACATTATACTGCTTAAACCTTGGAAATAACGCATTTGGGGTTTATTTTGCCTATTACAGAGAAATTTTATCAAAATTTAAAATATTAACTTTCACATAGTGATAAGTTCACGATATTAAGAAGACAAAACATGCGTACCACAATTTCGTATGGAACGGGAAGACACTAGACGAATTCCAAAACAGGTGGAGAAAATGTAATAATGTCTCTTTCATCAATGGTTTATATGCGTCATTACATAGTTTATACATTTTTCTTCTTTGACCACAATCCAGCTACAACATGAACACGGGGAAAAGAAAAACAGTAAGAGAGTGGTGTCAATATTTTTTCTTCTAAGATATATACAGATCTAGCGATTTCTAATCAATATTGCGCTGACTAAACTACAACTTGTATATGGAAGCACTGCGTGTTTCTTGAAGTAAATGCTTACTGTTCAACCACAGTTTACCTGATCAAAAGATGGGGTGATCGCTCCCTAGCAGGAATGTAAGATGATTGAAACCGAAAAAAGACTAGTTGTTATTACTGTCCTCAACTCAAGTCCGGCTACAACACTAATTATCTAATACACATGCATTATTGTTTGCTTTACTTTTGGAGATAATGATAATTAGTTTCGATATTTTGTTTGTGTGGTTGTCTTGAACGAGCATTAACTATAGTAATATATATGCACATATATATTATTAATTTACTAATTCATTTATTATGTGTAGTGTAAATCTATTTGTCATTTGAAATCCCCAATAAAAACATCAATAAGGATTATGTTTTATGCGATAGGTGTTTATAATGTAGTTTTCATCATATGGTAAAATATATATAAATATATCGCGAATCAGACGTCAAGCACTAATCCTGTTATACATATTAGCCACTGCTTCAAAATTACTTATTAGATTTTATTATCACCGTGTTTATAAAGGGTGATGTGCTTTTTGTTTCGTTATTCTACTCTAAGCTAAACTCGTTTCAAAGAATTTTGTTTTTCTTTTCTTGATAGTGACAACTGAGAAACCTTTACATGAACAACTATAGAATAAAATTCAGCCATCGACATACCCAAATTAACTCACAAATCATCAAATATGTTATTTCTCAATTACAAAATACATATATTAAATAACTACCAAACGCAAGAAATAAATTTACCTCACTTCAACATTACTTACCCTAATGTAAACCAGGTGTCGGCACTGAGCTTAGGCCAGTTGTGAGCTGGGAGCTCATCCTGCCCCTTCCCACAGCTGCCGTAATAATTACCCAGGAAACACAGGTTGGAACTGGGCGAAAAGTCGACGTGAAGATGATTTTTCAAATGCTGCGAGACGTGTGCCTGGATATGGGGTTTGTCCGTTAACTCTTCAAAAACGTTTATCCACACTACAAGAATGTATACAAAAATTCAGTTTAAATCCCTGTTAAAGTGTCCAGTGCCTTGGTTATTAATAATATATACATTAGCTTTTTACTATAGTTTCATATCCTCTGACAAAAGTAGATCTCACCTGTAATATACAAAATCCACAACGAATATTACGTTGTCAAACTAAAACGATATCCATGTTTACAGATTTTGATGTATAGTACGTAAAGTTGCCCCCCCCCCAGTGGCACAACGGTATGTCTGCGGACTTACAACGCTAGAATCCGAGTTTCGATATCTGTGGTGGGCAGAGCACAGATAGCCCATTGTGTAGGTTTGTGCTTAATTACAAACGAACAAACGTATAGTTATTAAAATAACCGTTTCAATTTTCACGCTCTTGCAGCAGTACCCGTAGCCCCGCCCCTTTTTTACATATCTGGGATATACTACAGCGTATTTACATGATTTTATAATTGAATAAACCCGATAACCCAAGCACTTTCAGAAAATACACGTTTCTTTTCAAGGATGAAATGATGGATCATTCACACTTTATCGCCGAAGAATGAATATGTTCTTCATACCAGATATAAATATCTTCTTACACACTTCTGAATATTTTTTTCGTATATAATCAAAACCTATAGATCAAACGCAGAAAACGAGATAGAAATAGAATCAAAACCTGCTAGTCTCCAGCTTTTTATGGAATCTCTTCTTTGTGGTGGGATGAAATGATTAAAATTCAGTGTGATCAGAACAAAAATCAGTTTTCCTGATATTCATAACTTATATCTCAGTTGAAGTCCTATAGTTGCTTTTGTAACTTTCTTGTTACTTCAAATCTTCGTAGACTGAAAATTCGCAACACTATGGCTAAGTCAAGTAGTTATACATTTACAACTTGTATATAAAACGTCAAAATACATTTTTCTTGTATTTTATTCCAAATTAGTCATATAGCTAAAAGTTTGTTTGTTTTGTTTTGAATTTCGCGCAAAGCTACACGAGGGCTATCTGCGCTAGCCGTCCCTAATTTAGCAGTGTAAGACTAAAGGGAAGGCAGCTAGTCATCACCACCCACCGCCAACTCTTGGACTACTCTTTTACCAACGAATAGTGGGATTGACCGTCACATTATAACGCCCCCACGGCTGAAAAGGCGAGTATGTTTGGTGTGACGGGGATTCGAACCCGCGACCCGCAGATTGCGAGTTGAGCTCCTTAACCACCTGGCCATGCAGCTAAAAGTAAATGTCTATAAATATAAATACAATATTCACTAGCATTTAATGGAACACATTAAAAAATACTATATTGATTGAATGTAAATAACTTTACAATTATAAAAACGGCGAATGCATGCATTTTCATTAATTCATTTGAAAACGTATTATTTTGGATAATTCAATAAAAACAAGAACTCGTATTTATACAACAACTTATGTGGTTGGCTTCTCATCCACAAAAACACAGGAAGTTTCAATAACAACAGTGAAACTAATACTTGTTTTTACGCGACCATGAGAAGTCGTAACTGAGATGGAAACATTCCCTCACACCAGCTCAACTCTACTTAGTTTTACATTAAGCTCTGTCCCTGCTTGAGGGGAAGGGTGGAGGTATTATCATCGTAGCATGACCTGTGATTACAAACTTCCTAATGACGTTCACCAAAGGAAGCCGAGTTGGTCTAATCCATCAAGGAACTGAGCATAACTGTGGTCTGATGGCTATGCTTTCACACTATGAACAGATGGTGATACTGCACCTGTATGAGACTTGGAAGGGGGGGGGGGGTATGGTTCAAAACTTTTATGCAGGAGATACACTTTAGTTTAAAAAAAAAAGTAAAAATGGCGATGGATATCATTCGAGCGCGATCAGGTCTTAGTGTAGTAATTTAAGATCCGAGTTCACAGGCTTCACCCTTAACCTTATAAAAATCTCCATACATAAATCAACACATATTGTAAATTTAGGTATCTGAATACTCCTAAGTAACTCTCTTAGACTAAAATTATTGTGAACTCGCTCAAGTCTATTATCCTGTCAACGAAAGCTGAATCATTAAAACTTTAAAAATTGGGTATTTAAGATCACAAAAATATACGAGCTTAGTAACTTTCAGTAATGATTTCGATTCATTGCACGTATTGTATTTTGTAATATTTTTTTTCCAAAATAAAGTAAGTGACAAGAACAAAAACAGTTTCAGTGGTAAAAGAATTGAAATATTAAACTATATAATGAACACGTGAAGCCAAGGTGTATATATTTATTTAAACTCTGTTACACAAATGTCTGCTAAAACAATGCTTATAAAACTTCCGAACAAAATAAACTTGTAAATGAAAAAAAAAAAAATCCAAAAATACGATAGGATTGTTTTAATTGTTAATTTCAGATTTCTTTGAGATACAGTAGGTTAATGAAATCTAAAACCCTGGAACGTTTCTTTAACTTCTTTATGTTTAATTAATCTTCATGATGGAGCACATTCTTACTAACTAACCCAGTGAAAGAACCACTATGAAATCGTGCTTCAGTGTGCCATTAAATTGATGATGGTTTAATTAGTGGAGTTTCCGTATATTATAATACAACTCTTGCTGGGCAATCAGTTTTATTTCAGTAAAAACATATGTACGTACATTCTACATATATTAAGCACAGAAGCCAGAGTTTCTTACAAAATCCCAACTCGAATTACACGAAATAGGATTTGTTTGTATTCGTGAAATACTACAAGAGCTCTCTGCGCTAACAGTCCCTAATTTTGAATTGATAGACTAGAGAGAAAGTGACTTGTCAACAGTATCCACTGTCTACTCTTGGACCAACTTTAATCGAATAGTGAAATTCAAACGTCACTCTTATAACGCACACGCGGTCCCAAAGTGCGGAGCGTAATTCTGCGGTAACAGGATGTAAACCAAGAATTCTCAATGTAACAGTTCTACATATTAACCATTAGGCCACACCTGGGCCATATAAGAAGTATCATGCAAACCAAAATGAGCTTATTTGAGATTCAAACATTAGTTTCTTCTTCACGATTTATATTTATTATAATAGCATTGAACAGTTATAGCTCGCTAAAAACCTCTAAGTGGGGAACTATTAATCTATACACATTACATAAGGTTATGAAATCTGAACTGTCTATGACATAAACACATCCTTAGTGTATAAAACATCCAACTATTCATTATTGGGTATGGAACGAAACAACACAAGTAAATTAGTTTTATCATGTTTTCTGGACACTATTACTTCCGAAACTATTTTCTGCTATATAGCTATGACATAAACACATCCTTAGTGTATAAAACATCCAACTATTCATTATTCGGTATGGAACGAAACAACACAAGTAAATTAGTCTTATCACGTTTTCTGGACACTGTTACTTCCGAAACTATTTTCTGCTATATAGCGAAAGGCTAATGAAATATAAACTCAACATATTTTCCCACATTCTGTTTAATTCTATTCCCAGAATTTTACTCATTTCCATTCATTATGTTTTATAAACTCGCCTGATTAGGTAGACTTGCAAAAGTGCAGAAAATAATTAAATTTTTATTAACGGTATTTACATTTACATATTTTGGGTGCAAATATATGATTTATACCAAGTCTAAAATAACCAAGTATTTCCATTTGAACGTAGACGCAGACAACTAACTAACTGAGGCGATACGACTGACAGAATGCATAAAAAATGTATAACAGTCATAGACAAAGATAGTATAGTCATAAAGAAAAAAATAGCTACGTAGAAAGCACACTTTTTGTGATATATTTCCAACGAAGATACGAGTAATATTTTTCAGAATATGGCCTGTTTTACCTGGAATCACGATACGACAGTCCAACCCTCCCTTCCACTTAGTTTAAAGACAATATATGACAACTACATCCAGTGAACTTTATAGCAAGATAAAAACAATTCCAATACTAGGAAAACAAAGTCGTTGTCCTGGTAAAGTTCTTTGAAATAACAGGTTATCCCTTTCATATATATTTCGTACAGTATTTTTCTTATCAAAGATTCATGAAATGATCTTTGTAGCAGAATGCCCAAATATCACGTAGCACGTCAAATTACAGAGCACAGCATACTAATTTCCAAAGTATGTAATGATTTCTGCTTAATATTAAAACATACGGGAATTGACTACGTATAAATTGACATTGTAGTGTGCTAACACTTTTTTTTTCAAAATTTACTAGTAGTTTTCATAGATAGTCTAGCCTAGTTTTTGTTAGCTCCAAATCACCAAGAAACGCACACACTGAAATAAGACAGACATGTGTGAACTGCAGAGTTAATTAACTCGACAAGTCATCCCAATGAAACGTGAAAGGATGATCAGACGACAATGCAGAAACGATTTTGAAATAAAGCACATTAGCAGATTTTTAGAAATAAAAAGGATTAAATGTACCATTAAGTTTCTACGTAGTTCGTCCAATGGCTTGAAGCCTCTTTTTTTTTAGATTTTTTTCTCGAGACTTTGTCAAGAAAATTGAGATCACTTCTGCCAAACCGAAACAAGTTTTAACAATAAAATTAGACGATCCGAAATTTCGTGTAGTTAACTTTCATCTTCTAAAGTATTTCAATTTTTATTAACGTTTATCTTAATTTATGGTTATATATTTGTTAACACATAACTTACGTACTTTTAATGGCGTAAATGAATAAATTAAATGGAAGAGAAAATCAAACTTGACTGAAATGTTGACATAGTTATTAATTACAGGGTAATTCTGACATGTTACAAAGTAGGGATATATAAAAAATAAAACTGTACACTGTCAAATTTTACTTACCCAAAAATTATTGTCTTTAGCCAGCAGTCGTACAAAAAATATCAGTGATCCATAACAATTAATTTGTGACATGCTGCATCATATCAGCGATAAACGTTTCAAAACGCACGTGGTCAGAGTTATTTTATACAGATGTTCATCAGATCTCTCTGTAACAAAACTTGGACTGCTGCCAAGGATCTCTCATGGAATACTTAAAGAACGTAAGGTGAAGTAGCGCATAATATGCTACAGACACCTACGTGCACCGGAAGTTTGACAGGAACTGGCCTTGTCACGAGCCGCGTGGCTTGGCCCAAACGTGGTGAGAAAATGGTACAGTATCTCAATCCACCCACGCGACACGAGCGTGCGATGCCCTAAATTTCATTGTTATTAATAGATGAATTCTCATAGTAACATACTACCTCAAATAGAAATAAATTAATCTTACAAACAACTGAACAGCTGTTATCGCTTTTTCTGTGTAACTAACACTGTTACTTAGATAATTTAAATACATTTTTTAATAAAACTACCAGTCCTGCAAGTTATGCCAAATATCTCATGAAATATGAGGAAAGTGTGATACTATTAGCTATATTTAGTTTTGTCTCCCAGTACTTCAAAATTACCCATCTTTCTTTCACAGCAATCTTGCTTTTTTTTTAAAGGAAGCTTAGAATTTTTAACGAATCGACAAACTTGTAACATTTATATTGATGTAGTCATTGCTTCGCACGAAACTCGGCAAAATGTTTCATTTTTGAATTTGTAAGCACTAGCTGAATGAATGCCTGTTTATTATGTATTATTGGCTTTGAATGGTTGAAATACAATAACATCTTTTTAATTAAACAAAAAAAGCTTACTTTTTAACTGTTGAATTGTCATATCAAACCATCGTTGTCCAATCAAATTTGCCGATATTGTTCGGCACATAACGCAGAAACAAAAAACTACAAATAAAATATATATACATTTTGTAGCAGGTTACTGCACCACGTCTACCTTTACAAGGGCAGCATGGGATTCTGCAAATAGTAAACTGTAATCAGTACCTTTGGTTTAAGACTTTTTTTATTAATTTCAAGCACGGTAAGCTTATTCAGTGAATGAAAACTTGCGTTTGAAAAAAAAAATTGTCTGGAAAGATTAATTATTAGGTTTATAATTAAACAGACCTGTGGAATCTATTGTTATTCTTCTTTATCAGGTTAGTCTAACATGTATGACTACAGTAGTTTTATTCTGAGGCATGGCATCTACAAAGAATTACAAGGTAGATAGAAGTAAGCATAGCCCTAACAACTGTTACAGTCACGGAAGGTTTTTTTTACAATTCATATTATACACTTGAGCGTAGACATCCGCTGATTGGACAGCGAAGCATGATGTAGAATTCATAATAAAATAAAACAAGGCAATCTTGTGTTCAAACGATTATTCATAACATTACTTTGAACAGTATTTATGTCCGAAAACCTTGCTCTTGGTATTTAAAGATAATCTTCATATTTTTGGCAAAATGATATATAATGGCATGCAATAGAACGCTGTGGCATATTTACTACTTTTTTAAAATCTATCTTCGTGATTTTTTCTTTTTTAGCATTATCCAATGGCTTTTTTTTTTCTGTAAAAAAAACAGTTTTCTATACACACGTTCTTTTGTCTCCTGCTACCACTTTATAAGAAGATTCAATAACATCAAGAATATTGGAATGTTCATATTCCTTATTATCAGTTTAGCTATTATCATGTCTATAAATGAACCATATTGCAATGATTTATATAGGTGTAGTAGAAATTATGACACAGCTGTGATTTTCTATGTTCGTCTGTTCTTCTCAGAACATTTTTGTTAACGATAAGGTCAAATTTGATGTTCAACAACAATTCTCTTGTTGATAGCCACGGATCAAAAACATAACAGTTTTTACTGATGCAGTTTTGGTTTACAATTATAGTTTAATTCAGTGAAGTTTAAGATATAAACGAAAATCTAGTTGTTTAATATGCTGAAGAATAAATGTGCTTTACATACAAAACATACTCTAAATTCTTACACGTATCCGTTTCACCAACTATTTTGTATTATAAGCCGAATATTGGTCTTTCACATAAAGCAATGTTTATATTATGCACTAATGTATTAACAATAATACATTGTTTAATACTGTTTATCGTAACCAGGTTACCAAGCTCTACAGCTCTCATTAAGATCATTTTTAATTGAAAATAGTGTTACAACGTGACAGGAAGTTTGAACTAATTTCTAATAAATTCAGTTCGGATTTCCGAGTAGGATTACCAAAGTGTATGAAATAAGAGAACAATAATATGAATTTTTTCTGACAAAGTGTCGATGTGTACTATATATATATCGGACTAAAACATTTCGGGGTCATAAGAAATAAGTGTTATAAATCATTATATATCTTAACAACGTTTTCACCATTTTCACATTTTCTTTCTCCGTCAAAATCTAGTATTTGGGCATTAAAGTTGTGAATGATGAAAAAAATAGCCGCCCAGTATACTTTGTTTAACTAAGGATTGAGAGCAACACAATAGCAACGACAATTTTCTTCGGGGCTGGACGTGACCAGTGGATAGTATGTGAATAAGAAGATTCGTGGGTCGCGAGAAAAACGTGCTTCGCATTTTAGAGCCATGGGTGCACAATAAAAGTGGAGGTCGAATTCCACTATTCAGTCAAACAGTAATAATTCACGAGTTGACATTGGATGCTGTTGACTAGCTGCCTTCCCTCTGTCTAACAGCTCAAAATTAGGGACGGCTATGGGCAAGTTGCCATTGTGTAGCTTTGAGCAAAAGTTTTAAACAGAACATATTCTTTAAACTGTTTTAACAAAATCACAGGAGTGTTACAAGAACTATTTTCTAATTTAAAAGCATTTTTCAGCAAAGCCCATTATGTCAATCACAGGGTAAAAAAAATCATTATTAACTTTCACTGGGGAAAAGTAGATCAATTAAAAAAATAGCAGTGACTATACGTCTGATAAAGCTAGAGGTTATCACGTGGCTTAACATTACACTTTAAATTGTTTTATGCAGTTTCTACTTGTGAAATGTTCGTTTGATAAACGTGAAACTCCAAGGTAAAAAGAATGCCTAAGAATAGCAAGTTACAGATTAAAGGTCAAGGTGAATTTGTTATTCTGAATACTTTATTTTGCTAGCTTTTGTAAGATAACGGAAATCACCTGTCAGGGTACAGTATACTCTAAATGATGAAAGCTTAACGGTTGTAGGAAGTTAATTATTTTGAGTATTTAAAGGGTTAGCGTCAAATACACCCACTTACGTACAACTTTTACCTATATTTCTTTTACATGATATTTATTTATTATTTATTAAATTTGTGATAATTACTGAACAGTGCCAAAACTATGAGCCTGAAGTAACTGCACTATTTAAGTTTTAGTACAAGGTGCAGTCACAAAAAATTCTTAGCAATACACCATCCAGGAGACATCAAACCTAAACCTGAGAAGACTACAAAACAAGTCCAAGATACGTGGGAAAGTTGGCAGTTGTTGGGACTTGTAACGTTGTCCAATGTGAAGAATGACAGAGCTTTGAACAGAAAATAATGGGAACGACACTGCTCAAGGTCACAGTCACCGCTGAGGTAGGAGCTGCGCGAAACACTAGGAATTGCAATGTTTATTTAGAATTTTCGCGCAAACTACAGAAAAGTTATTTGCGCATAACCGTCCAAAATTTTGAACTGATAGACTTGAGAGAATGCAGTTAGTCAACAACACCCACCGCCAACTTCTGAGCTACTCTAAGCGAATAATGGGATTTTATCTGTTACTCTCATAACATACTCAAAGCTTCAAACTGCAGAGCACGTTTTAGCGGCAACGGACCGCGAACCATAAACTCGCGGATTCACAATCAAGCACACTAACCATTAAGTTAATCCCGGCCCAGGTGTGGTAATGTATTGCTGCTTTATTAGTTGAGGTTAAAGTTGAAGAATTAACTATCGGTGGTTCAGAACAGACATTTTATTGTACCTGATTATCAGTATGTGAGCACAAGTGTATTCAATGTATAACGGCTCTTAAGGAAAAAAAGGTCCTAAAAAGAATGAATTTTTTAATGAACAACGTTAGTTTGATTCCTAAAACAAACAGTGGCACATGGATTTCCGTATCTAGACGGATGAACAGCATACAGATTAGTAACTAATTTCTCAAAAGCCGTAAAAGTTTTCGTTTTGAAAGGCCTGAGGCAGTATTTTCTTGTACTTCTGTCCGTCTCTAAACACTAACCAATCTTCCACAGTCGCCAATATAGAAGGATTTCGAAATAACACTAATGAAAAATTAAATTGTAACACATGTTTGCCCGCAGACATAAACAATTCTAGCTATGTGTGTAAGAGCTTGCTATGTCGGTTCCGACACACACAAAGCAAGGGAAGTTCATGATGAAATTCACGAGCTAAATTGGTTTTCAATACTTCGCTAACCGTCGCAGCTCAAAATCTCATCATGCGACAATCTGAAAAAAAGAGATTACTCAAAAAGTCATAATAAATGTATTTTCTTTAACAAACGTTTATAACAAATTTATTCTATTTCAAATTTCATTAACTTCCTGTTTTAACAAATCCTATTATTTCAACTTTTTTTTTTCACTGTTGTAATTCTATTTCTATATATCTCATTGTATCTTACCATTGTTGTATGTTTGTTGGTTACGGATTACGCGCAATGCTACACGAGCACTATCTGCGCTAGCCGTCCCTAATTTAGCAGTGTAAGACTAGAGGGAAGGCAGCTAATCATCAACACCCACCGCCAACTCTTGGGCTACTCTTTTACCAACGAATAGTGGGATTGATCATCACATTATAAAACCCCCACGGCTGAAAGGGCGAGCATGTTTGGTGTGACGGGGATTCGAACCCGCGACCCGCAGATTGCGAGTCGAGCTCCCTAACCACCTGGCCATGCCGGGCCTACCATTGTTGTAACAACAAATATGGTAAAACTTGCTCAATAAATATTGAACTGTAGAGATAAAATTAAAACACTGATTGTG